GGCACCAATGCATTCAGGAAAGAGATGTACAGAATCGATTCAGTGGAAAAGTGCTGTGTAACCATGACTTGAAACAGAACAGCACAGAGAAATACGGAAAGTCTAGTGTGGAAGTGACAATGGGCCCGTATAAGTAGGTGCCAAGGATAGTGCCTTGGATTACATTGGAGTGTGTCAAGTGTGGTCCATCTGGGCAAAACACCCAGTGGAAACACCTTGTATAAGATATTAGGATCAACAAGTGCATTCCTCCCAGACAAAAAAACATCCAGGAAAAGCACCTTGGATACATAGAATTATGAGAAAATAAAATAAATACAGGTATGAGTGTAATCATGATGGTTTTCATAGCCAGCACGTTGTCAACATACATGTCATACTTCGTCCACATATATAGCAAGCCACAGTACTAAACATAGTGACAGTGAGCCATAGTATGGTGCCAGAGAAAAAACAAAATAATTATATGTAGCTAGGGCTGAAGGACTGTGAATTGTATATAAATAGGCCAAGTGCAGTCCACCTGGGCAAAAAACATTCAGGGTAAGTGCCTTGAGTTATGTTGGATTATGCCAAGTGCAGTCCATCCAGACAGAAAACATCCAGTGGAATTGCCTTACATAAAAAATTTTGGATCAACAAGTGTGGTCTTCCCAGGCAAAAACATTTGGGGGAAGCACCATGGATACTGAATATTATTGTATAATTCATTGTTTGGTACTGTAATGATTATAACAACTATAGCCCTCTTCTTGTAGAGTGGGTACACATGGACTGGAAAGCTTTATTTTGTTTTTCAAAAGCCACTCAGGTGGAAATCTCCACAGTACACTACTCCAGTGACAGAGAACCGGAAGTTGTAAGGACTCCAGTGCTCCACTAGAAAAAAAGAGGGGATTAGGCATTGGGAAGTCCTGAGGAACGACACACCGGAGGCAGTGCAATGGGTGTCTGCAATTCCCTATTTTGAAAAGCAGATACACACCGATTGTAGGAATCATGGGTGAGTAGGGATTGGCAGAAATCCCCATCTGCTTTACTCATGAGTGACAGTCCTGTATAAATGAAATTAGTAACTGTTAGTAAAAACAATATAAATACACATACCACCGGACAAGCTGCCAGTGGTCTTACAGAAACACCCCATCTTAACAGTGAGTGTTATAGAATTATTCATATCTGGTGCAAATATAATATGACGCATACCTGACTAGGCAACAACCACCACCAGGTTGGATCCTGTAATATGATATGTATCAACTAAAAATACATAGAAAAAGTAATATGTCAACTTACCCGAAATAAAGGCAAACGGATATGTGTGTGTGTAGGAAGATGATACCTGCCCGAGGAAAACACAGCCAGGTTGTGCAAATAATGTTTGATGAATGTGTTGGGAGTTGTCCTCATTCCAGCCTGCACGATTTTCTCCAAAGGCTGGTGAAGTTGAGCAGCTAAAAACATAGTTAGATGACAAATTTGGTGCAATGAAACATTGTGCAGACGACATCCTTCCATGGACAAGTTAGAATATGCCAGTTGTACGAGTTGAAGTACCCAATCAGTGAGTGCAATAGGGAACAGATCATGGGACACAGAAGGAATCCTTGAAACAAATAGACAGGAATGATAACATGAAAGGAGGCAGTACAAGGCACATAACATCTTGGAGAACAAACAGAACAAAGAAGTCTATCCAGAACTGAATAGGAGCACAGGTTGGAAATAAGAGAGACGGCCAAACCACCTACTTGGGAAGCAATGTCTAGGGAAGGAAGGAAAGTCCGATCAAGGTAGAGGATAATATAAGAGGATTGGGAAAGAATGCACGAAACATCCATGGCATGAATATTGGAATGACAATGACTGCAAGCAAGGAAGAGGACTTAAGGGGAAGATGGTACAAGGAACACATAGCAATGGGTTCATATGGAGAATTGGATGTAGCAGGAAGGACAAAATTGAGATCCAATATGGCCAAACAAAGGGATGTGGAAGGAAATAACAGGGGAGGAGAAAGCTTTTTGGAAGTGGAAGAATCAGTAGGTGTTCAACAGGGCAGCCCTATAACTAGAAACAGTTGACATGGAAAAACCCTGAATAAACAACCAGGCAAAGAACTGGGAAAGATTAGGTATCGAAGGATGGGAGGGATGGAAGTCACAGTGAATGTACCAAGGTCTGAAGGTAGACCACTGCCTCTGGTACACAGACAAGGAGGAAGATCAACTGGAATGGGAAAGGAAAGACATTACGTGAAAGATGAGTCCCTGAGCTGTGGCAAGGGACCAGACAAAAGCCAAGCATGTAGATGGAGTTTGGTGACATTGGAATGAATCATGTCTGATTCCAGTAAGGGCCAGAGCAGAGGGAACTACGTGCAAGCAGGCCAATACACAGCAACAAGCAGGACACAACAAGGAATGGTTTGGATAATGGATAAGATTCAGGAGAGAAGGCTGAAGTAGAGAGTAGGCATATGGGTAAAGACCCCTCCAATCCTGACCGAACATATCTACTCCCAGAACTAAAGTGTGTGGAACCAGAGACCAAAAGGAAGGAATTTGGGCATTCCACTGAGAAAAGGAGATGGTAGGGCTATTGAGACTACCCACTCCATATTCCTAAGCTGAAGTGGAGAAGGCTGGGCCTGACGAAGATGGGAATTGAAGAAAAACCCCAAAGGAAATATGGTATTCAGTTGGGTTAAGAATGGACTTCACAATTGGTTCAGAAAACCCTAACCAATTAGCTTCCTGAAGAAATAAGCAGGCGTGATTGACCAACTGGGTATTGAAAGAGGCGAATAAGAGCCAGTCATTTGAAAGGGACAGTCCAAAGAGCCAATGATTGAAAATGATGGGCAAAAGAGCATACCACTCGACAAAGCACAAAGAGCAAAAGAAGAATGACTGAATGGCAGTGCCTGGAACTGGAAGACACGACCCTTATAGACGAACCAAAGAACCAGGCATCCATCACAAAGATTTGGTCATCCAGAGTCCTGGAGGAAAAAAACTCAAAGTAAGAGGTAGGATTCCATAGAGAAGTGAGGTGGCTCCAGATAAGAGTTCAACTGCGACAGGCCTGTGACAGGTATCCAACCTCCTGTCTTTTGAGGGAGAATAATTAGACAGGAGTAAAACCTCGGTTGAGTGGGCACCACCTATCTGACAGCCCCTTTGTGTAGTAGGTCTTGAACAGACTAGGAAAGATGACTAGAACAGGTATGATCTCAAGGAGAAGAGAAGGGGATCTGATAAGTGGATAGAGAAGGGGAGCAGAACTGAAGGTAGAAACCTTCAGACAGAACCCATGGAACTGTTGTGAAGTGTAGCCAAAAAGATACATAAATTAAATGTGCTTAGAAGAAAAAGTACTCATTATTAATAAACTAACAAACCTAGAAATCTTGCAAAACTATGAAAATCGACCTAAAACATAAAACAATAAGCAACACCTAAAGTGCAAAACCACTAAAGGAATTTAAAAGATAAAAGACACATAAATATCAAATTTATGAGTCCCCTTAAAGACATAGGACATGAAAGTAAAACCTACTCTGAATAACATGAAAATCAAAAGGTATCCAGTTAATAACAAAATTTGACTTTAATCCCCAATTAAATGTGACTAGTAGTAAAGAAGAAGAAACTAACAAACATAAACAGTGAAAGGAAGTATAAATAATGAATCAACACACTCACAAAATTGGCCAAAGTTACAATTACCATGTGACTATCGTGTAAAACCCATACATATACAGAAAATTAAACAAAGACAAACTAATAATCAAACACTAAATGCAAATTTAAACTAAAGTAACTTAGAAGGTAAAAAAATTATAAAAATCTAACTTACTAACTATTAAACAGAGAAGATATAAAAGACCTAAACTATCATGTGAGGAAATTAAATCAATCCACATAAACTTGCTAAACATGGGCATACCTCCTGGGAGTGAGGAATACACATTGAAAAACATACCACAGACCTCATAGGAAAAAAGAAAAATACCTAACCCAGGAGATTACATGGAGGCACAATAGCAGATGGAAGGTGCAGCAGAGAGAAATTTCTACTCAGTAGTTATGTCCTTCCTCACAAAAAATTGTAATGTGAAAGGAAGAAATCATTGGCAGAACATAAGACATGAACTTCCTACAAACTAAAGCCTGTACTTCCACAACAGACATAGTCGAACGTAAGACCTTGAGACTCGTTTCAGAACCATTTTTGACTGTCATGGGAATTTCATCATCTGCCATATTAAATCTCAAATTCATATGAATAGATTAGAATTCAGAAAACAAAAAACATTTCTAAAACAAGTAAGTAGAAAAAATGAAAATCAAACACAAGAAGTTGAAACTGATATAAATTTGTGATCAAGCACAATCAAACATTTTGTTGTCACATGGAGAGCAAATTAAAACACACACATCTACACATGAGAATGCCAATCGAGAAAGTGAGGACTGTTCTAGAATAGTAGAAGGCACTAGTATAGATGAAGTAGAATAATTAGTGGAGGGTAGTCACATGATCAGCACATGTTCTGAAATGGCACGAAACTGATGAGGTAAAAAAGACTGGTGTGCTGTTAGCTAAAATTTTTTAGTAATGCTTGCTTAGAGGGCAGTCCAGGATCGAGATAGCTTTGGGTGAGCGGAGGTATGACTGTTTTAGAATAACGTTGATTAGTTTCCCATGATAGGTAACTGAAAAGTTATAATTTTGGTATTTAAAAAAAAAGTATGTTTTTTGTACTTACTTATTTTATACATTGAATTACTTTGAAATGAATATGTAAAAAACCATGAAAAGTACAATCTTATTAACCCTCCAATAATTTTGCAATAATAAAGATTTTAAACAGATAAAACCAACTCATATAAAATCCTACTACACACAAATATACAGAGCACATATTGAGAGCCAGAACAGATAAATTATATTCTATATATATATTATATTGTGTGCAAATAAACATGAAAAAATTTCTTATTTTCATAAATTAATTTGATTTAAATAAACTGACAATTTATTTTGTCAAAATGAAAGTGCTGTAATAAATTCATTTCATTGCATAAAACTTTAAATGTAAAGTTTCCAAACTGCAATAGGCTGTCTACAAAGGCTCGATATTCCTTGTTCTTGACCACCAATCACATACATACAAAGCTCCCATTCATGTTGTTCTCTTTTTATCTTGAATGGACTTCTAGGGGGGTTTGGTCTGGAAACTTTCCCATTTTTCCTTTGTCTCACTACACCATCAGACAAAGTTTCTCTTTGAACAACAGACGGTATTACTGTTGCTGTTTGCCTGGTATTCCTGTAACTACTTTTCTGTGGACTTTCTAAAATGTTTTCTACTTGTTTCATATTGATGTTTTTTAGAGAATTATGACTGTGGACTTTGGTCAAACTGTCTACTTCAGTTGGATTAAGATCTTTCATTTCAACAGGAATTTCATTCTTATGGTTTAATAGTTGATTAAGATTCACTGGATTTAAAATATCTGCAAAGTTTTGATGAAGGTCTTTAATGTAGTTCAACTCATATTCAGTAACTGACTGATATCCTGAGCTTCTAGAGGCTGAAAAAGAAATTCCAAAGCTGTCACTAACTGGACTATAAATTTGGGAATGTTCATCTAACAGAGGAGAAGCAGCAGATATCTGTTCAGTAATTTCTATTTTTTCAGAATCATGAAGGTTTGTAGCTTCCAAGTTAATTAGCAATGCTCCAGTGGAAAGTTTTCTTTGGTTGTTCCAGCCATCTTGTTTCATATCTTTGGCACATTTATCAGTTTTCCTGTCACTCAGATTCAGTAGAGATGTAGATGCATTTTCATTAGGAACAGATATAGGGGAATGTGAATCAATACTGAAAACATCTGTAAACTCACCTTTATCAGACAAATTCTTAGAGCAATCTTCCATTGGTGGAAATGTTTTGATGTCACTGTTTGAAAATTGAAGCAAGTCCTCACTGGTGACTTTCTCATTACTGGTCCAACAAAGACGATAAAGAGATTGAGACATCTTAAGCTGCCGTTCAACATGGCCTAGATCAGGGATTCCAATAGACTCCTCTCTTTCCAATACTTCTGAATTAAGAGGCATTAGGACATCATCCTGTGACAAAGACTTGTATTGAAAAGATGATGTTTTACTATCTGGCTCCAAGATTCCCTCAGAACTAATGGACTTCTGGGTGAAAATGCTGGAAGTAAAACAAGGACTTTCTTGAAGTGAAGAGGTTTTCTCCATGAGGCAGACCAACTGTTCTTCTTCAAGAGTTTCATCAGAACTATGCAGAATATTGTAACTACTGTTATGTGAATTTCTTAGCAAATTACCACTCTTATTCTCATCTCTTAAAGATCTGGAAGAAAAATCATATATATTTATGATATATAAAAATTTTTTTCACAATGAAATACTAAACACAGTTTACTTACTGGTTACCCATATACAATTTATCATGTAGCATCAAATTGTTCCACTTATACCAATACTAAACCATAAATACTAACAGTAACAGAAATTTAATTAATTTATAAATTTTAATAATACATCATTTAAGAATGTAATTAATCTATTTTAAACTCTTATCTAATTGGGTATATTACAGCAACTGGTTTTGACAAATTGTTTTGAGTAGTAAGTGTCCACCTGGTGTGAATGACCCATAATTAAAATCTTATTGACTTTATACAGGGTGTTGTTTCTTATATTATATCACCATTGTGTCAGTCTAGTTCATCTTTCAGAATGATGTTCTTAGACTGAAGTTACAGTAATACTGTTTATTTAAGAATATCTACATTAAGATGATGATGATTGACATGTGTTAAGATCAATTTTAATTAATGTTTTAGATAAGTGTGATGTGACTGTCCATTTAAGTTACCACAGGATCTTAAATAAAACCATTGCTTATTCATAAGCAGAGATTACACCTTAACAAAGTCAGTTTATATAAAGTACTGCTTATGTCATGAGAATAATATTTGTCTAAATATATTCTTTGCAAACTATAATTTGCATTTTTTTTCTCCAAAAAGCTAAAAATACCAATTGCATTCATCCCTGTAACACAAACCACAATATGCAAGAATGCCTAATATTCATTCAATATTTATTAATGTCTTCTTACATTGTCACAAACAAGTAAAAAATAATTGTAAGTTTTATTAGCTACTATCTAACATTACTTCTAAGTAATTTTATTATCAGTACGTAACACTAATTGACAATCCTTGCTCATAGACAACTGAATAATTGATTAAATCACTCAGTTCTAAGTACATCACTAAGGAAAATATAAAAGAAAATAAGTTGCACAATGCACTAGTATTTTGTACTGGCTTTAAATAGAGCAGTACCCTTGCTTCTATGTTACTACAAGTTAATTAATGTACAATCGTGAAATATTCTTCAAAATGTCCCGTATTACTCTCCACAATTCAGTCAAGTTTATCTGGTTGACATTTAACCTAATTAGCAGAAACGCTGCCCATAGGGCAGCTGTTTGTGGTAGTAATTACTAATCCTAGTATTCATACCGAATTCTAAAAAAGATTCATCAATTGATTACTACATTGGCAGCGAAACAAAACAATGGGCACAATGGTATCATTATCTTCAAAAATGGTGGATTGGAATCATATATAAGTAATCATTAGTTTCAGTATTTTGTGAAACTAATGGCACAGTAAAACCCAAAGATGCAGTGCTGAAGTTGAAGCAGATGCATTACAAGATGATTTCTTTAGCGATCCCCACATTCAAAATACCATTTCTGCAATGAAGAGAAAATGAAAGAAGGATGATATAATTTCCAGTATGGCACCACCCTAGTATGATCCAAATAGATTTCATCATGTCATATTTTTATGTATAATTAGTTTTAATTTTGTTTCAGAAGTTGTGCCAAACTTTATTCATCGAGATCTATCATAATAACCCTAACTCACCAGCTTCCGGAATGACCCCTGTTGATCACCCTAGGCTTGGTACTAAAAGATACTGGGCTGGCTTGTGTGGCAGTTGTTACAAATAGCATGCTTTTTGGAATATCTCTAAGCAAGCTAGTTAACATAATCTTACTGCTGCTTTAAAAAAATAATTCAATTGAAATTTTCTCATTAATTATTGGATTTTAAAAACATGTGAACCAAAAAAAGCTTAGCATTTTTTCTGTCAGACTGTCAATTTTATTCAGATATTTTCATTAATGAATGAGGTATTCCAAAAACATTGTGTAACCCCAAGTTGGTGTACGTGCCAACTTAAGATTAAGTAGTAACACTGATGCCAAATGTGCCCTCAACTAACTCTCAGCTGACTGTTGCAACACTTGAAACACAAACCCAAGTATTTATTATGCATGTGATTTTCATCTCTCCTGGAGTCTATTGCTGCAAAAGTCACCTGGAAAGAAATCTGATTTTACCTGACTCATGCCAGATGAGAGATGTAAAGATGAAAAACTTGGCCACCAACAGTAATAATACAAAGGTGATAAGACATGTGTGCAACAGCAAAAGATCAAGTAGAATAAACTTTGACAGGTTTTGAAAGCTAATTGATGGTGAATACTTTAATCTAACTGAACTGACTTAGTCCCCTCAGTCTAATGACCAATCTTCCAGGATTCCATGTTTGAGAAACTGAAAATCATTGTAAGCTTGTTTGGAGGTCCGCATTAAACCCTATGCTGAATTATCCAACATAATTCTGGGTTTGAAAAATAACTTTGGTGTAAAGAAATCAATACACTTGGCTCATTCTTGCTTTGGTGAATAATTATGTTCCTCTGTATCTTGAAAGTGAATAATAAGATACCAAAAATGGATATCTGACCATATCTGTCACCTTGAATGGAGCCTTTTGGCAAAAGGGGACAATGATGTTGCCATGTTTTAGATAACAGTTATATGAATGTTAGTCATGCATTCCAGGAGCAAAATTACTGTATGCACAAACTAATGGTGGATACATTGTGTTGGTCTTTGGTCCATATTTTTAAAGTTGTGCAAAAGAATGAAGATGGAGCAATTACTCATCATATACAGGGTGGTCCAAAATTGTTTTCCTACTTTAAAATTTAATAATTAAATACCTAAGGAAATACAACTATGCAGTTTTCAAAATCTTGTAGCCCAACTCAAACAGATTTTATTGACATGTCAGTAGACTTTGATATGTGCACCATTAGTGGCTCTTACCACATCTAACCGATAATTGATTTCAGTCCATATTCACTGCACAGTTATAGTAGTGATGGCATCTGTTATCCTGGTCTTTAGCTGTGTGATGTTTGCTATAGGTGTGCAATACACAATATCATTAACATGCCCCCAAAGAAAGAAGTCTAGTGGAGTGATGTCTGTGAATGCACAGGCCACAGAATTGGCCCACCCCTACCAGTCCACCACCTCAGAAATGTCTGATCTAGGAAACATCTAATCAGCAAACTCTGGTGGTTGCATTTTTCCAGTTGTGTGACAAAAATTGTTCCAGCATGAAAAAGTATACACTCCCGGTAACAGTGCTCTCAGCCACACAAGAGACTGCACCACACACAATTTCAATATTGTCATGGGTGGGGGTTTTCTGAGCCCCAAACACAGACATTATGATGATTCATTTTACTTGAGGTATGAAATATAGCCTCATCGCTAATCAGTACACAAGCTAGAAATGTGTTTCATTTATCTATGCAGTAAAGGAGGTTCACTGCAAGTGTCTTGCACTTTGATCTCTACCAAATGAAGTCATTTTTGAATGACATGAAACAGATTGCTTTTGGCATGGTAATTTATCGTGAAGCACACCAAAGCGATTTTCATGGGGTATGCTGAAATGATTCACATACTTGTCCAATACTATTAACTCTAACGGAAGGTCTTCCAGCTCCTGGTTGCTGTAACACACTGCCTGTCTTCAAGAACTTCTTCATCCACTCCTGGAATAGTTGGTTTCAGTGGTTGTTCCTTTCTGTACTGGCATCTATAATTATGCTGCACCACAGTCACTGATTTGGTCTCTGCAAGCCAAACGACACATTGAGCCTTTTTTTGCATGGTTGCCATTTTATGGGGTAACACTATTCAATGAAGTGAAAATAAAATAAAATGACAATAAAAAGTCTTTGAGCTTGGCTACGAAATGTTGAAAACTGCATGATCGTATTTTCTTAGTTATTTAATTATTAAATTTTAAAAGAGGAAAGATAATTTTGGACCACCCTTTATTTTCAAATGATGTTGAAAACATATTCACCTAGATATTGCTGTGAATAGAAGATTTAAGAATGGAACTGATCTCCTTCATACACTCTATTTGGAAACCCAGATACCATTCTTTTGCAAAAGAGGTGCAAGCAGCATCCTACAGAGGTATCCAATCTTAAGAGATGTGATGGGTGGTTGTAGCAATAATTGGTAGTATGAAATATGGTTTAGTTAACTTTCAATTCATTTTATAGCAGATCATGTGAGAATTTTCAGTACTTTTTTGCAGCTGCTATTGGCCTACTTTCATACAAAACAAAGAAGATAATTCTGCTGTTACACAGTGTATGAGCAACAAAAATGTACACCAACAAATTGTAGAGTCCAAAGACATGAAAGTAGTTGACATGAAAAAAACAATAAAGAGTGAAGGAGATGTATTGTTTTTAGGCTTTCCATAGTTTTCTGAAAAATGTCGATCATCACTGATGCTTGACGTTTACCAGGTGAAGCAGGCAGTATCATACATCTACCTGAAGATGAACTGTATGACATGTGGGTAAGTAAAGAAAGAGGTGGTCACACATTCTATGTCCCAACTTACTAGAGTTAAATAAGGAATATCATTAAAGTGATCTATGAATAGTAATAAGAAGATGATCCAAAAATCATGAACTGATGCTTGACGTATACCAGGTGAAGCAGGCAGTATCATACATCTACCTGAAGATGAACTGTATGACATGTGGGTAAGTAAAGAAAGAGGTGGTCACACATTCTATGTCCCAACTTACTAGAGTTAAATAAGGAATATCATTAAAGTGATCTATGAATAGTAATAAGAAGATGATCCAAAAATCAGGAACAAAATCTATGGTGAAGTTTGACTTGTAACTAAATTTGAACGATTTACAGTATTAAAGTCTCATTATAAAAAACAATGCATGGTAAATGATAAAAAATTCAAAAATTAATAAAAAAGCAACACATTTAGTTTCAATATAAACCAAAAAAGATTGATAAACACATATAATGTGTGATTAAAAATACTCTTAATTCGACATATTCTACTGCTCAACCATAAACTCAAAACAATGTAGAATTCCACACAATGCACAGAAACAAACTAATTGACTTTATATTAATTAAAACAGGTTCTGGTACCAGTATGACCTAAAAAAGTGTAAACTGCAATGGAGAAAAATGAAAAAAAAAGATGCACCATATTATGACACTTGTTTATCTTGATATATAAATAGCAAGGAAGTAAAACATGCAGTAAACAGAGAAGATATAAATCAATTCATTAAAATAGATTCCAGATAACTAAAATATTCAACCTTTCAGTACAAAACAAAGGTTAGTTAAAATTGATAACTGTCATAGCACGATGAAACACAGTCTCTAAGAATTATGATAAAAATTAAACCACTGTTCAATATTACTTGTGTCTATTCAAAATCCTATCATGACAAAATTCAAGTTTTTAATAGTGATTAATAACTACAATACTGGATATACATTGTTAATACTTTTGAACAGATTAGGAAAAATATTTTCATTGATAAAAAGACATTCTGTACAGATTGTCATACCTCAACTGCACTTGGTTTGTAGATACATTGTATGCAACTGCAACATACTGTTTATTCTTTTCACTCTCCTCAGAATTTGGAGATTTAGAACAAAGTCGAGAAAAAGGACGAACACAAACTTTTAAATAGTGGCGTGACTTTTTGTTTTCTGGAGAAGTTAAATGATTGTCATGAACTGATTCTAAAAGATTCTGGGTACATGGCTTATTCTCGTTTGTGGACGGACTGTCAGTAAACCTGTATTGTTTCCTCTCTGTCATGGTTCTTGAGTAATCCAGTGTTTGGAATTTCTCCTCCCATGTAAATTGGGCTGGATTAGCAACAGCAACATGATGTATGACTGGACTTGGTACTACTCCTTCTGTGATGACTCTTTCCCAAACCTGAGTGGCTGAAAACCACAAATATCATAAAAGCATTCTATGAATAAACAAAATAAAAGATGTATAATTACTAAAAGATTCATGTATATGACAAGCAATTTCTTGTAATGATCTAGCCCCAGTTTTCAGTTATCCAAAATTTTTTCTAACTATTAGGAACATGTGAAATCCTTACAATTTACAACTTACTAATAATAGTCCAGCAATCAGAAACATTGGTAAAAGCTCAACAATAATTTCTATTACCTTGTTTACTGCTTTTAAATCATAGTACACAAAATATACATATTAAAAAACTGGCAACCAGTAAATTGTGATAGATCAGATGAAATGAGGAGTATTGTTGCTCATATGCTCTTTCACAGTTTTAAAATCACGGTAACCAAGACAAGCCTAACTTTAAAAAGATTAAATAAATTCATTTATTTTAATATTTAAGATATACACTTATATCATTAAACACTATTAAATCATAATTTTATATGATTAAATCCTGAGAGAAATGCTTCACCTTCTTTTGCCAGATAAGCCACTGGCAAGAAACATTATGTGCAAGAAATAGTCTTTTAAAAAAATAGATAGATCTCATCATGTGTAACATACTGAAACATAACTTAATGTAATACTGTAGTAATTGTTGAATATATTTTAGAGTGATCAATTTAAATGTATTTAAAGTACAAAATGAAAGTTAAGTGACCTGCTTGACTCTGAACAATGGTCTGGCAGCATACTTTTCATAAAAGCAAGATACAAAATAAACATAGTTTTATAATTTACTTTCATTATTAAAGTTTAAAGTCTTTGTATACCAATAAGCTACAAGTTAACATTTTCTTCAATTGAAAATGTATTTCCAATAATACTTACCTCTACTCACACTACAGTTATTACTTGACTGCTAGGGTTTCCTTCCTTTGATCTGAATTTTTCTCACTTGCTCCTGTCTTTTATTCCCCACTTAATTGCTCTTGGCAATATCTGTCACATGACACTCTCCACCTACGTCCATGTGCCCTCTGTCCTGGTACTGTATTTAAGCACCTCATTCAGTTAATATTTTTACTTTTTTGACATTGACCCAACCTGCAGTCTCTAACACTGGCTCTTAGTTGAGAGGAAGGGCAGGAAAGTGTGAGAGAGGTAAGTATTATTGGAAATACATTTCAATTTAGGAAAATGTTAACTTTCAAAACATACTTACCTCCTCTCAAATTACAGCTAGAATCCCACATTGATAAGGTGGAGGGGGCCAGTGAGGGAATTAACCATACAAGATGCATCTGCATAGATAGTGGGTGTGCCAATAGAAGCTTAGTACTCTAGTGGGGGAACCACACTAAATCTAAAATAGGTATGCTCATCACCAGGAACCTAAATCGTGTCATTCGGGTGGGAATTTTACATCATCAACCATCATTATAGGCCAGGCCCCAACCAGATAGCAGAGGTCCCACTGCTCGGGATTGGAATTATAGGACCATGGTTCCTAAAGCCCACATTGGTGGCTAGGGCATTAGGGCCACAATATATATATATTTGTGAGTGGATCCCAACTGTAGCTATAGAGTGATGCATTATGATCCACTGGAATCCCGATGAGAAGGTAAGTAACACCGAAGTGGACAAACCCTCTCCTGAACCCGAAGAAGTCCAAAGGGCAACACTCCAAACTCAGAATGACAGGATCCTGTATGCCATACTCAACCTGAGGAAACAGAACTCATCCAGTCTGGAATTATGAACACTCATCCTCATCCCCCACCATGTGGACAAAGTAAATTCCATTTGCCCCCAGAATGGGGAGGATGTGGAACAAACTGTGTTCAACCAAGGACCCAGGATGGGGCCATTCTTCATTTGGAATTACGGGGAGACAATGGGCACTCTTCCATGAATAATGTACTGAACTAATATTGATCAAAAAGAAGGGCCATGCTCAACCCAAGTGGATAGTGGAGCATCAAATCTGAACCAATATTATGATTAGGCTCCTGCATAGGTTGGTGCCTCTTCTACCAACATCATCCTCTTCTCAAAGCATGTAGAAAAGTCACTCAACACTCTGGAGGAATAGTCTCTGTCAACCACCCCAGCGATCAGACACTGAATTTGGTAAGGTCTCCCTAGCTCCACTAGTATGAAACAAGAGGGGTAATGTGCATTGGGGAGCCCCAAGGAACAATGCTCTGGAAACAGTGCAATATGTGAACCAAGTTTCCTAAATTTTTAAAAGTGAAGATTTATTAAATCTAATGATTGGCAGGGATGAGTAGGATCCCCTTATGCTTTACTCCTGATAGTCTATGAGTGGCAGTCCAGCTTAGTACAGTAATACCACCCAGCCTGCCTCTAGGTGGTCTTATGAAACACCACATTTATACAGAGCCTGTTGCAACCTAGATAAAGTATATTGTGTTAGTGGTTGCTAATGCAGAATGGGTTTGATAAAAGCACACCTGCCCAGGCAACATTTGTCACATAGTTAGATCCTATGAAAAAGAGGTAGGGAGCCCTGTAAAATGAAGAAGAAACAATATTATTAATGAAGATGCTCACACCTCCTTATAATCTAATGGATGTGGTTAAGACAGCTACTGGAAGTAGTTGAAAACCCTCAGATACTGCCAGATCATGCAAATAGTGTGAGATAAAAGTATTGGAGGGTGTCCACATACCAGCCCATGCAATATTCTCCTGTAGGCAATTCAACCCGGCCACTAAGGACATAGAAATGTGACAAATCACCCTGGAAAGGGGATAAATCCTTTTTATTGATTCATCTGACCAATATTTCTCGATTGTTTGTTATGTCCAGTGGGGCTCTTGAAGTGTTATGTTACCACACTAATACCCTTAGAGGTTCTAGACAATGACTTTTTATTCATTGCGATCCTTCAGTTTCCTGGGACTTTCCCCAGTTAGTTTGTTGGGGTGATTATGGAAATTGATCCATATCAGTTAATCTGGACTCTCTTTGGAATTGAGGAGTCTTCTGCAAGTCACGTCTCTTCAGTCCTTCATTCCAAACAACTGTTTCAATTACTTAACTGTTATATTAAGGTGGTATTACATGCCATTTCTCAATATCCATTTGAAACCTTAGCCTCATGTACCATGTATCACCTTTCCCTGAATGTTTAATTTTGTTGCTGCTGACCTACAGATGTTGCCAGTCAGAGTTGTTTGTACTGATTGAGCACAGGATGCTTTATCATTCTACTATGCCCTCAGACAGGTTATTATTTCCTAAGATACTGGGTACTGGGAGCTCAAATAATTTTCATCTCGAGTTTCTAAAGGTAGTTGATAAGGCTGCTGTATACAGGGCAACTGTGAAAGATATAAAACTCTTGTCAAAGAGCAAGGTCAAAAAACTAGTTATGGTTGGCACTTCTGGTTGAAGTGGGTTCAATCTCCTCTCAATACACCATTGCCAATATGTGTGTCATTTCTATTGATAAATGTCCCTCAAGGACTAAGACACATATATGGCAACCTTAGAAAATAAGCCCCAACACCATGCAAAGGGCTGCATAACCTCAATGTCTGAAGCTTGAGCTTCAGGATGGCTGGGTGTACAATGTCAGATCATGGTTGCCTCAACAGAGATGGCCAAAAAGGAAGAGGAGGACACTCCTGAAGGTACCACAGAAGCAGAAATCAGGGTTTAGCTGCCAATCCAGTGCTATCAACAGGACCCAACAATGGATTGGAATGAATCATAGCTAGTACATTGGGTAACATATGAATATCGGTGGGAAGGACTAGAGGTGTAATCCTGTCCCGACAAAATGGATCTATAGAAATGCTCAAGGGTGTGGTACTGGAGACCAAAATGCCCATAACTGGTTGTTCCAATGAGTGGCCAACACATCATCAACATTTTTAAAATGGGATCCAATCCAACATAAAACCTCATGATGCAGCATCCATTCTGTCGGGAGAATCTGTTTGGGTCGAGATAATTGATCCGCCACCAAAGTCATAACCCTTGGAACATGGCAAGCTAGTAGAGTTATATGATAGGAGTGATCCCAAGAAAGATGATCCAAGGTTTGAAAACAGGGAGTCCTGGACTAAGTGCTCCCTTGAAGAAAAACGTAAGACATCACCATGGAATTGTTGAAGTGAAGCCTGATGATTTTCCCCTTAATATGCCCAGATCATGAGACATCACCCTTTGAACAGCAAGAAGTTTTAAAACATTGTGTAGGGAAACCTCGTTGTCCGTGCATTGACCTTGGAATTCCTGATCGTTGAGATATGCACCCCATCCCTGAAGCGAGGCATCCATGAAGAGATGGATCTCTGGAAGAGGTGGTAGCAGAGGAACCCATATCATAGTATTGTTCCAATCTAACCACCCCTTAAGATTGAAGATAATGATCCTGAATAAGGAAACTGGAGAATCCAATGAATTGCTGTTCATGATCCATTGGTCTCATAAAGCCCACTGAAGATATCTCTTGTATGCTCATCCCAAAGGAATGAGGGATTCATGTGATGTTCACATTCTCAAAAGAGAAAGAACCATTTGTGCAGTGGGAGAAGGAGAGGTGAGTACTACCTGTTCCATAGCTTGGAGCCAGATGGAAGTCGGCTGAGCCTGACTGAGATCCATGTTGAAAAAGATACTCAGACTGATGATACGTTGTGTTGGAGTGAGAATAGATGTCTCAGCTCTGATAGTGAAGCCTGCCTTGGTTGTTTCTGAAAATAGAATCTGGGTGTGACGTTCCACTAACTGACAAGTTAGTGCCAGCAGTAACCAGTCATCCATGGAATGATGTGTACACAGGTCTACGGAAAAGTGGAGTCAAGAAAAAACTTGTACAATTCAGCAGAACACATATGGTGCCAATGCTAGTCTGAATGGCAGAGCCCTGAACTCCAGCACCTGACCCTTGTGCACAAAAAGCAGATAGTGGTGAGACTATGGAAATGTGCAGATAGGAGTTGGCGACATCAATCTTGGACATCCACAATCCTAGTAAAAATACCAATG